AAAAAGACTTCCCTGGCGGCGATGATAAAATACGAACACGGAGCCAACAGATGAGGTTTCAACTGGTACTGGTATTATTATACTCTGCAAACATCAAGTACAATAACTTGGTAAAACTCCAAACCTCCAATAACTAGATACTTAAACTCCAACACAATTCAACGAGATCTTCGATCTGATCTCAGCGCTGAACAACTCCCCTATATATACCCACACTGTCTATAAATAGACCATTACATCAGCATACATAATGAGTCTGGAACTTACTACAAATTTCTAGAATGTTCCGTTACCTATTCAACCAGTTTCTAAAAATTCCACCCAGACACAGTACGGTTCTAGAACATTCTTAGTCACACGGAAGTGGTAAACAAGTCGTATGCGACACTTGCTGTGAAGAAACGAGCGATGCGGTCAGTCTCAGCGATTTTGATGGCTCTGAAAGTAAGATCTCAGGCCTCAGAACTCCAGTGAAAAACACAGGCCTTCATGGCAAAAAACTCGAACCCCGCACGCAGCTATGACAAAAGTATTTTGGATGCGGGTTCTATGCTGGTAAATTTAGAATATAACCACTACACAGTCGACTCGAAACACGAGGAGACCAAAAAACGGCAGCGAGCCCTGGTGCTGTCATTACATCTATTCATTTCTAAATACATAGATCAAGCATAAAATGAAGACGACATGCATGAGGGAAGCGAATTACAGTAGGAAAAAGAGACGTAACAATACCAAAAAGTGATTAAGCTACGTCACCCAGGTTTTAATTTCTTTGTTATGAAAAATACTACACAAAAAGGGAAAAACGCCACAAGGGTAAAAATGACAAAGAAAACTTATCCTACCAGCTACAATGTCGGATGCTGTGCAGCGGCAACAACCCAAGCTAGAAACCCGGACAGGAAAAAAAGCAAGCAATACAGGCAGAGCTCGCTAGACTTGATCTCCACTCGATGTGGAGAAGAAGCAGAGTGGATATCCAGCCCTGATGGCGCCGCCATATGGGCTCGGTCACGTGGTTCGTGACGTAAGGGAAAAGAATCTTGGGGTCACGGGGCTTCTCCTGACCTAGATTCTATCTCTCCGTCATTGGCAGAATCGCTGATTAATGCCTACTGTTCAAAATAGTCATTTTGTCTATGGTGGGTATTTGAACGTAGTGAATAGTCAACATCACCATTACTTTCTCCAGTAGAGCATTAATTAGTGAGCATGGTTGCAACACATACAGGTCCAGATTCGTTCATGGTATTGTTAGTTTATCCATCATGTACGAGTATGCAAAGGATCTGGAAACTGCAAGACATACTGCCTAAGCTTGTAGTTTCTGGCTCAGGCTCAGGTTCATCACTGGCAACTACCACAAGGCAAACAGATCAGTTGCATGAACGTTAAATCAGCAAAACTATCACTAACCCTTGCCAGTTGACAGGTTTCTAGCTTCATACATCAGCAGAGCGAAATCTTCCCAACCAGTTGGCTTAGTGTGGAGGTTTCTCCTTCTTAGTGAAAAATGCACTACATCAGTTTGTCGCAATGGAATGGAGCTTTCTTGTCCTGTACCTCATCAGGAAAGCAAGCTGAAGATTAAAATCTCCAGTATGTTTATGTGCAGCTTGGCTGCAACCCGCTACCACAAAGAACATGCCAAAAGTGGTAGCAGATGCTCTGGTAACTATATCGGACAATTGCATAGCATCTTTAGTGTTTGCCTACAGAGAAGCGCTGCAAACCAGCTTGAGATTCTCACCATTTGGAGCTGTTGTATGGAAGACCGGTGAGAGGTCTAATGACCTTGCAAACGATATAGACAAAATAGATCACCAATCGTAAAATTAATTAAAGGTACATATAAATATGTCAATGACCTACAAACGAGGAGCCTGCAAAATGGCTCAGATAAAACTGAGCAAGGCTGTTGATTAGTATTTTGACAGACATGCAAAGCTCTGATCATTTACCATGGGTGAGATGTACTGTTGTTGCTTCCTATGATAAGCTGTGGATGCAATGGCTAGGGCACTATAGTGTAACAGAACAAAACACGCAAAATGACTATCGCATAGAAAAGAATGGTACAGAAATACTTTCAGTCATCTAGTATCTGATCATCAAACCAGTACCATATTAAGAGATATTGCTCTGAAAAAGCATTAATTAAAACAAAATGGCCACTGATCGGTCATTTTGAAAACATCTGTATATCTATGACATGATGTATAATGAATATATAAAATTTTAACATAATCAGTCAAAGCATGTCAGAGATGGCTCGAGAACCACATTCAATAAAAGAAAATGGCCGCCAGTCAGCCATTTTGAATCCAATCTGAAAAACAAAATGACAATGATGTCTAGTGTATGTGCCAAGTTTGAACGAAATCAATCCATAAACATCCAGGATCCTGTTCCAGAATTCCAGAAATGCTTATTTTTGATGATTTTTTAGCACAAAATGACACCAGTATTGAGCTACTGCAGGACAGACTCCAGATGAGTATGACATTACACGCCATAGATGTCACTCAAATAGGTGATTGGCATCTCTGGGAAGGTTGCTACGATGCTCACCTTGGGGTTAACACCTATTTTTATCCAAATCAATGTAATTCATTACATTAAATGACATGCAAATCACGTCGCCAAAAAAAAATTAAAAACCATTAAAAAAATGTGAGATCATTTTCAAACAGCTTGACAAATAAACAATGGAAGAAAAATAAGAGGAAGTTGTTTTAAATGATACTAATAGGGATTCTAGCCCCGAATTAGACTCCAGTCAGTCGAAATTACTATTTTGAACTGTAGGCATTAATCTGCAATTCAGCCAATGACAGAGAGAAAAATCTAGGTCAGGAGAAGCCCCGTAACCTCATAGATTTTCTTCCACGTCATGCGACACTTGATCACTTCTGGTTTTCGTCGTATACAAGGACTAAGCCGATTGCTTTGGTGGGTATGGACTATGTGAATAGGCAGGCTGAAAACATTCACTACATTCAATTACCCACCATAGACTCCAGTCAGTCAAAGTGAATATTTTGAACTGTTTAGAGTCAGACACCGAGAGATAGTGGGTTTCTGAGCAAATATAAAAAAGGGTGTCCCAGCCCGGGACAATATTCCCTACTTACGACTACCTCCTAGATTAAGACCAGTGACAAACGGTGTCTTACTTTGCCAGTTTCGTACAAATAACAAAGCAACTACTGATAGGGTGACAGGGTTGGCATGCCAGAAGATGCTAGACCCAAAACCAGATTCTTGGGTAACTAGCATTCCAAAGAATAAGAGGCTGAAAAAGTTCTGCATGAGGGCATAGGCTGAAAGCGAGAGATCTCTGCAGTCATTCAGACTGGGTCAGTAACCAAAGTCTGACCCACTACAACGGGACCCACCCTAAAAGGACCCTCCTCAATGGTTTGGGTGTCCCTTAGATAATCACTAGTAAAGACGTTTGCATTCTCCAGAAGTCTGCCCTCTGTAGATGTTCGAGGGGGCACCTGATGCAAAAGCCAATGAAAGATTGCACAAACGTCCTGCGCTCGTACTTGGTGCTCCACCTGGAAATAGTGTCCTCCAAGCCGACAAGATGACAATCGGCTATGGATCATGTCCTGGGATTCGGTTCTTGGTGAGAAACCCAATTTGTGTCTTTAGCATAGCTTGATTGTCCATAAAGGTGATACAGCCATCTGAGAAGGACAAGGCCCCAGCTCAGAACGACATCTACCAGAAGTGAGAGCTAGTAGGAATATTTCAGTGGTGCTGATCCCAGGGGCTCCAAGGGTGGTCTGCTTAAAGCGAACAATACGAGTGACAAGTCCCAATTGGGCGGTCCCCTTGTTCGGGGTCTAAACCTCTGATGGAAAGCAGTAAACAGTCTCCTAATAATAGGACAATCGGCTAGTCTTGTCCCCAAAGTATTCTCGATGGTGGGTGACAAGGCTGACCTATAGCCAATGATTGCTGCATAGAACAAGCCCAACTCATCAGACAAATGGATGAAAAAATTAGCTACCTGGCGGGATGGCATGGATCAATCTCCCTTCCACTACACAAATCAATGAACACCCGCCATTGTGAGACATAGGCTACATTGGTGGAATCCCTATTCACATTGGCCAGGATGTTGGCATCCTGCTCAGATAAACCCTCTGTCTGAGCGAGTCTACTGAGAGTCTTGATGCGTGTAAGTGGTACACTGCTGGGCTCAACGGCAGTGTGCCGTTCGGTTGGGACAGCAGATGTGGTATGTCCAGAAGCATTACTGGTGTTTTGACTAACATTTCCAACAGTAGTGGAAACCAGGCCTAGTTTGGCGTCACCAGCGTCAAAATGCAGATGAGCTCCTGTTGAAGTTTCTCTAGTACCTGGTGAATTAGCAGGAAGAGGGAAAGGCATATGCATCCATGTGGGCCGATGGGATCGACAAAGCATCCCTGGCCCAGGCTCCTGGAGTCTGTATGTCAGGAGTTGGCATCCCAGGGTGTGGCAAATAGGTCTTAAGACCATCCCACAGCCTATGGGGCATCACACCCATTGGTGTATCTGTCAATCCCTGTTATGGAAACAGAGTCGCTGCGAGAGGGTGTCTGCTTGACTGTTTCGCATCCCTGGTGGTGTACAGTTAGCTCCAGAATGTATTCCAGGTACCAAAGGAGAATTTTCTTCGCCAGAACTGACAGTGATGGGGATCTGGTCTTCCCCTCCTTGTTGATATAGGAGACCACCGCTGTGTTGTCAATGCTTTCAGCTTGAGCAAATTGATATGGTGGCCCTGAACCCAATGCAGGGGCCATATTCTCTGGGCTTGTTCGTCCAAAAGGTGTGCTCCCCAACCTGTGTGGGAGGCATCTGTTATTAGAGTCATAGCCGTGGCGAATGGATCCAGCAGGATCCCATGCCTGAGGTTAGCAATTGCCATCCACCAGGGCAAGGCATCCCTCATTTGGTTTGAGAGAGTTACTCGCCTCTCCAGTTCCCATAGGTAATCCCGGTGCTGCAACAAAGTAAGCTGTACCAGGCATCTGAGTAACTCAGCTAACTACCCTGTGAACTGAGGTCATCATTCTGATGATATGCATCAGCTCTTGGAGAGACACAGAGGGAACGTTGACTAGACGTTCAGCTAGGTTGCCAAGTGCTAGGCAACGAGCCTGCAATGGTCGTACTAAGTCCGCCTCCAAGTCAAACTCCATGTCCAGAAACCCAACCGCTGTGTTGGGTGTTGATTGGATTTTTCTCAATTTACTAGGAAGCCTAACTGGTGTAGTAAATCCTGTGTTAGCCTTACTTGCCCGGCCAACAAACCCTTGTTTTTGTTGTGTAGCAACCAGTCGTCAAGGTATGGGTTGATGTGTACAGCAGCACCACCTGTTTCAACACTCTAGTGAACACGTATGGGGAGCACCCTGAACTTGAATACTTGACCCAAATCAAAGGAGTCATTGACTCGCTTGGTGCATCAGTATGTGCAGGTAAGCAGCGCTCAAGCCTAGCGAGGCTAACCAGTCAAAACGAAGCACAGAGAGTTAAGCGGTGCTCGGTGTTTCCTGAGAAGCACATACTGATTTAGTCTGAACTGGACGCCAGCCACCTGTAGTCTTTGGAACCACAAACACTTGCAAGTAGAAGCATGGGTCCTCTACTCTGTGTATAGTGCTCTTTGTAAGCAAACTTTCCACCTCCTGTGGGGGGCTGCTGACAGGGAAGGTGGAGATCGCAGCGATATCTTGTAAACCGTGTATCACCACCTGGAGAGTTCAAGGGTTGGTTATGCACTGCCTCCAAGCCAGAATACACTGGCGCAATCTGTGTGTGACAGAAATATGTGGCCATGGGTTCGCCGGTTCTACATCGCCATTACTTCATGAGGCCTGTAGAAGTTGAAAGATTCAGCCTCCCGCCAAACATATACCCATCCCGCTCGGCGCAAGCAGAAGCGTCAAACTTGCTTCCCCTGCAAGCTGGGTGGGCAACCACTCGAGTAAGAGGGGAAATGATGAGTCATTTTATAACTGCAAATTATGTTACATTATTTATGTAATATTACATATTACCCTGGATAGTATAACAAAAGTAAATCAAGGTTTTACCTTGTTGTGAAGAACAAACAGCACAGTATAAGACCAAGGATTAAATTCTTCATTGCAAAATATATATTGTTGTTGTTGTTGTTGTTGTTGTTGTTGTTGTTGTGTAGCAATCTGCAGGGGAAAAAATACTAAATGAAGCACCATACATGTAAAAAAAACTGGAATTACCACTGCACAACAACTTTAGTTCATTTATGAACTAATTCCACAGACAGTGGCTTTATTTGGACATAAAGGTATAGTGGTCAGTGAACAGAGTTTGTACATGTCATCCATGAACTATCATGGTCCAGCATCAATTCCAATGCCACTTGACCATAGTCAACTATGGTCAAAGATTACCATGTTCATAACAACCATGGTTATGGTTAGCAGAACACCCGTAACCATGGTCAAAACTTTCATGATTTTTGAACTGTAGTTTCATAATTACCATGAAGTTGGCTATCTTTTATAGACCATATGGTAAAGCATGTATTTATGTTTGGCTATATATGTATTATGATGGTTGTACATGTGCATTTATCCCATGTAGTTTTTTAGAGCTAACTAACTTTTTCCAAAACTCTAATAGTCATTTGCCCTATAACAACATAATGATTTATTCTGGTCTGGTTTGCGAGGTCACAGAAAATATCATAAACTTCTCTGGTTATGATTATGTTACCTTGTAGTTGACAATGGCACAGGAATGCAGCAGTTATGTTCACAACTCAAATAAAATCACATTGTCAGACGTGAGACATATCACAACAGACAATACAT